TGTGATGCCAGGCGAGGGCGCCTTCTTCTCCGTGGGTCTGCAAAAAAGAGGCGTGTTTTTGCAGACCAGCGGGTTTTGGTGAAACCCGCGGGTCTGCAAAAACACGCCCCCGCGGCGTCGCCTGGCGGTGCTGCCTCAGGTATTAAGTGGTCACTCGCCCCCGGCGGCCTTGTCCCAATCGTCGATGGTCGGCCATGCGGGATCACAAATGTGCCACTGCTGGTCGTGCCTGCCTTTTCGCCGCTCTCTTGTCCTCCCCCTCCTCGTCCTCCTCCTCGTCCTTGTTCCCCGACCGCACTTGCAGGCCGCATTTCGTGACATTTTGGTTGCGTGTTGTCGCATTTGCGGGGCTCCTCTTCCCGTTTCTGGGTGTACCAGCCTATCCTCGATGTGAGGCCCGCCCCCAGCGTAGGTCGCGCTTGCCTGCTCAGCGTCTCTGTTTCCGTGGCCAGAATTTCGGCCACGGTCGCGGAGCAACTCTGCGGGGTGCTTGCCTCGTCGGCGGCGCGCGAGCCGTCGTGAGCCCTGCGGATGGCCCCCAATAGCGTTTAACAGTTTTAACGCCGAACCCCGCCAGACGCCAGCATGTGTAGATAGAAAAAGACAAAAAAAAGGGGAAGGCAAGGGCTGGGTAGGCCAGGGCGGGGGCAGAGGGAAATGGGAGCAGTGAGTTACGTCATCGGAACCGCCTGCCAGGCCGTGGAGCGGAAGATCGGCATGAGCCTGTTCGGCTCTGGCCTGCGTTCGGTGCAGAACGAGGTCGTGGAGAGGACATTGGAGGAGTCGGCGGACGCGCTTTTCAACAGCAAGGACAAGGTGACCCCGGCGTCGCTGCTCAAGGCCAAGCAGGCTGCGCACACCTTGCTCACCGGCAAAGACGTGCTGAAGAAGCTGGAGGACAAGAGGGTTGTTCAGATCACGTACCTGTTCCAGAAGTTGTCGATCCCCGTGAAAACTCTGAACGACCACATCGACCACGTCTTCGCGGCACGCTGGAAGAGCAACGCGGTCCGCGCGAAGATCGTCCCTGCCCTATTCGGCGAGATGGGCTTGAGCGGGGCCGCCCCGCTCGCTGACTACGCCGACCGCCTCGATAGCAAGCTGTACAAGGATAACAAAGTCGTGCGGGAGAGCATGGAGACCAGCTTCTCGGAGGACCTCACCCGGTCGGGCCCGGCGATCGTCCAGCACCTGCAAAAGTACCTGAAGAAGGCTCTGGGCAGCGACCCGACCTGGCGCATCGAGGTTGCGTTCTTCGAGGCCATGGTTGGCGCCAAGGGCTTGGAGAAGCTGAAGGGGGACGTGATGTCGTTTCTGCCGACGCAGGAGAAGCACGTGGAGATCGAGGACGTCGTGCAGAAGTTGGAGCTGCTGCAGTCCAGCGACGTGTACCAGTTCTGCAGCGAGACTGGCCAGGGGCAGGTGCGCGCGGCCGTCGCCGCCGTGCACCAGGCCGCAGAGGGCCGCGCGCCGAAGTGGGACGAGCACATGACGGACTTCCTGAACAAGGTGAAGCTCAGAATCCCCCTCTTCTGCCGCTTGCCGGGCCCCGACGGCGCCGCGTTCGTTGGCGAGCAGGCGGCCCAGCGTTGCGTCGACTTGGCGCACGAGAAGGGTAGCCAGTGCAAGTGGGAGGACCTGGACCTGGTGGGCCGTTTCGAGTGGCTGCTGCCTTCAGGCTCCGCCGAGAAGTACAGGAAGACCAAGGCCGCGGCTGAGAAGAACGCCAGCGCCTCCTCCGCCGGCTCGGCCGCCTGCGCCGCCACGCCGAGCTCCAAGAAACACGGCGCGGGCGAGCCGGCGAGCGGGGCGAAGGCGCCGGCGAAGAGGGGCCGGGCCAGTGAGGTCCAGAGTGCCCTGGACATGTTCTCTGTGAAGAGGAAGGCCAGCGGTCGTTAGGGGTAGGCGTTCGCCGGAGGCACCCGTCCGAGGATTCCGCAGCATTGAAGTGCGTACGTGTGATCATAATATGGTATATGGCACGATGCTCTGAACATGTTTACTGTTGTCGTGTGTGTGTACGAGACTACGTGTCACATGTGCCTCCGCGATCGAGAGCCGTGCCGCCTGTTTCTGACGGGGCCGCAGGCGGCGCGAACGGCCTCGAAGCGGGCCCGCGCAAACACTCTGCCCTCTGTGGGGCCACTGCCGGGGCCAGCGGATGGGGGAAACGCTGGCGAAGCTACTGGGCGTCGCGCTCTCGCAGGAGAAACGGTCTCTGCTCTCTCGCCAGGGGCTGCCGACGCTAGCAGCAGCAGGGGCGGGGGGAACTGGCGCAGGCGCCGGGGCAGGGTTGCGAGGGGGAAGAGAGGGGCGGGGAGGGATGGGGGCAGGGGGAGGAAGGTGGAGGAGGAACGCCTGCCAGCGCCGGTCGGCGCCCGTGGTCGCTTGGGAGTGGTTGCCAACGCTGGCGGGGCACTTGCGTTCGCCCGCCAGCGCCCGTGGGCGGTGCCCGTCGGCGCCGGCGACCGCTTCCCGAGCGCGGGGCGCGAGTCGGAGCCGGGGCAGAGACGGCGGCAGCAGCGAGGTCAGGGGCGCGGCCTGCGCGAGAGGGAGAAGGGCGGAGGAGGGGCGGAAGGGAGGGAAAGGAAGGGGCAAGGGAGAAAAGGGGGCGGGGGCCGGGAGGGAGGGGGGACCAAACGGGGGAGGAAGAAGGGGGAGGGAGGGCGGGGGAGGGGGGGGGGAGGGCAGGAGGGAGGAGAGCGCGGAGGAGGCGGAGGAGGCTCGGACCAGTTTTTTTTTTGTTTGCTGCAGCACGAGCCAATCGCGAAATCGGCCCACGACCAAATACTTCTCGAAAGCATGGCGCGGGCCAGGCATGAATCCGCAGGCCGGATCTGTCGCAGTGGCGTTTCTGGACAGTTTCGCCCCCCCGGGGCACTGCCCAGTTGCGCCCCATTGGCGCCGAAGCAGTGGGCAAACCGAAGCGCCGCGCCCTCGGGGCCGCGCGCCCAAACTGGAGAAGGCCAGAACTTTTGTTCGAATGTGCCGCGCCGTGGCTCCAACCTTGCAGGCGCGGGGGTTCTAAAAGTGCCTCGTTGCGAGCGCCTCGTCGCAATCTGGCGGCCGCCGCATGTGAACAATAATGCCGCCGCGCCATGCCTTTCGGCGCGCCCGCCCGCCTAGCGGCGCGTGCACCAGAATGCCGCGCGGACGTCTGGGGTCGCGCGAGCCCCGCCCGTGGTCGAAACTGTCCTGCAGGTGCGGGGGCGCCGTTCGCAAGTGGCCGCAGGCCACCGCGTGCTGCTTTTTGGCGCTTTCGCACACGCTGGGGCGAACGCCTCATAGTGCCAGGCGGGCGTCTGGAGGCTTGGGATATCCCGCGCTGGTCGCGATTTTGAAGCAGGCGCGGCGGCGCCGCATGCAGGCGAGCCGGACTGCCGGAAGGCGACGGGTGCTTCGGCCAGCGCAAGGCGCAACTGTTCCTTTCGCCGCGTTTCGATCGTTTCCATCGCCGTTGGCGCGTGTTCGCGCGAGCGGGGCCGTTCGTTAGATAGGCCCCCGTGGTGGTGACGCGTGTTACCTGGGCGGCGCGCCCGTGCGCGTCCGCGTCTTCATAGCGCCCGCGCTCGGGCAGGCGAGGTCTTCATTTTCCAAGACGCAAGAAATATTCTCGCAATGCTTGCTGAGACCTGGCAATCTGAGAATGCGCTGCGGAGCATTCTACGTGTGTCGCAGGCTGGACGAACACGTCAATGTTGGGGTAGACCGATTCTGTAGTCGATCCCCTACTCGACTCGAAGAACACTCTAGCCCACTGCAAAAGTCCCCAGGCGTCCAACGACCTCCTCGAACTCCGATCCTGTAGAGGCCTTCCAGATGAGGTCCGTGCAGATGGGGTCGAAGGATCGCGCCGCATCGCTGATGCATCGGCGCGATGTCGGTGGTGCATCGGCAACGTCGGCGTGGAGAAAATCGGGCCCCACATCCAGCCGCATCGCCGATGCATCGGCGATGCGGCGCCATCCTCCGACCTCATGTGCTCGGAGCCGACTCAGGAAGCCGTGATCCTGGAACCTCACTCCTCGGGAGGAGCAGGTGCCCCACGTGAAGATGGTGACCCCCCTCTTGGCACCCACTCAGGAGCACCCAGAATAGAATCTGGGGAAATCAACAGGTACCGATACCGCTACTCCCCAGACCTCTCCTGGGGTGCGTTCTGACCAGGATTTTGAGGCGAATCCAGCGGTGGCGACGAGGGCCTCCCAGGAGGCTCAAAAGAGAGAGAGAGAGAGAAAAAAAAAAAAAAACAAAAAAAAAAAAAAAAAAACGGGCGAAGGGTAGAGGTATGGGTACCTTTTACTCCTCTGAGAATCGACAAGTCGTGTCGGCGATGGAAGCGAACCACATCGGCGGAGTGCGGCATCCGAGTCGGGAGAAGTCGAACCGGCGGAGATCGGCAGGCGCGCAAGCCCTCCACTGCCAAAACCGTACACCTCAAAGCGGAATCGGAAGCCTAATCGGGGCGGAGTCGATCGAAATCGAGTCGAGCCGGGGTCGAATCGACTCTTGGCGGTGCGCACGGTGGGGAAATCAGAGACAGGGTGGAAGGCTTCTATGAAGGAGGCTGATTCTGAGAAGGCGCGGGCCTTCTCTATGGACGTAGGGCCCGCGCCTTCTGAGAACCAGCATCCTTTGAGAAGCCTCCCCCCTCCCCCTGCCCCCCTCTGCGCGTGGCCGAGACATCGAGCTCTGCTCACCCCCTGCACGGTGAGAGGAGGGGGCCCGAGGGTCGGACGGGGGGCCCGGCGGGCCAGGAGAGGCCGGCCTCGGGCACACTCCTCTGGGCGCTGCGCTCGAAGCGGGCCTGGCCCAGGTGGCGACGCCCTCGAGTCCTGCTCGACCCCCTCGAGGAGGATCGAGGATCGGCGGGGATCGAGGATCGGCGAGGATCGAGGATCGATGGGGAACGAGGGACGAGGATCGAGAGAGGATCGAGGGACGAGAGGGTCCTCCTTCCCATTCTCGGGAGGGCGGCCCCCCTCACCTCCGCCCCCCTTTGGGCACGCCGCCGGGTCTTCGCGTTGGACGAACGTTGGCTTGCCAGAGCCGTCGCGTCTTGGTGGCAGCTATCCGAACAACATAAAAACGGTTCGGAGCGCAGCGCGCGGCAAAATAAGGATCAGGCCCTGGTATGGCAGCAGCGCGCGTCTGCGAGAACCAAGATATGCAAGACACTCAGAATATTCAAGAGTAGGTATGCTGCAGCGCCTGGGTGTGGCAAGGATGACCACCTCGTGCCCGCCCGCTCCTTCGCCTGGGGATCCCGATGTTGCTTGGGTCCTCGTTTGGACTGTGGCAGGTCGGGCCGCAATCCCAGCGCGCAGTTGCCATAGTCAGCGATAGGCGGCGACATCCAAACCCTCCCCCACCAATCATCAAGTCTCTCGAATCGGTGTGACGCGGGGGTAGGGTTCTGATTTCGCCACGTGTTCGGCAAATTCCGAATCCTATCCCCGCCGCCAATCCAGTTGCCCCACTCGTTGATCGGCGAGGGTAGGGTTCAGATTTCGCAGCCGACCCTTTTGGTAGGTGGATCTCTCAAGCTCTCCGCCGCCTCTGGCGGTGTGCGTTGCGAGCAGGAGCACAGCAAAGCCACAGGAAAGCGCGGCATTGACAGTGTGGCCCCGCACGCGTGACAAATGTTAACGAGCAGGAAAGCAGCAAAGCCCCATGAGAGCGAGGCATTGATGATGTAGCTCAACATTGACACGGTGGTGGCCGGGAGCTTCTCGCTTCATCTTCAGGCCCCTGGAGCCTGGAGCCCTCGGGGCCTCGCGCGGCCACACGACAGGGTGACCACGGCCTCTAGAGGGACAAACACGGCAAAACACACACACTATCGGACGGCGCAAGGCGCCGCCCGGGGGCCCAGCGCCGATGTGAGAAATCCGCGCAGAGCTCAGACAACTTCTGTTTATGCCGCTTCTTCTGCCTCGATTGTGACTGCGTGCCAGACACCAGACAACTCCATCCTCACCCGAAGACGCAGATTTCGGGTTGGGGGGGGGTACGGGTTCCACATGTGGTCATCTTACTCTTCCTGGACGCCCCCCACCCCCTCCTTACTGGTAATTGAAGGCAGATTGGGGCCTTCGGGTTGGGTTGGGGCGGCTTGGTGGGTGGTGAGATTTTGCGGGACTATCCGGAAGCCACTGCCAGGGCCGCTTTTCGGGCAGCACCGCGGCCAGGCTCTGTGCGCTGCCGGGCACCGCGCGCCGCGGGCGCAGCCGCCGGCGGAGAAAATGAGCATTGGCCGACCGTCCCGGCATTCCCATAGGCCTACTACAGCACATCCTTCGTAACAAGAAACGTTCCAAGAACAAATGCAATGCTCTTAGAAGACAAATCTGGATAACAAAACAAGGCTGCCTCAATCAGACACGTTCTGAAAACATCCCGCGCACACCACAGAAAGGTTGCCAGAACAGTCCCTGTTGGACCGATGGGCAAGTCGGGAGGCCTCGCCACTGCTTGATGTGCGCTGCCGCGCGCCGCGGTCGCAGCCGCCAGAAGGAGAAGATGGCGCGGCCGCGGGCCACGCAGGCGGCGCCCGTGCCGCGGCGCGAAAACCTGCCGGGGCCTGGATGGGCGCCGACGGAGGCCCGCCCGCCCCTTCGGAATCATCTCGGGGGAGGTCCTCGTCAGACAGACGCCCACAAGAAGCCCCCCAGAGGACCCCACGAGGCCCCACCAAGTATCCCATCCCGCACGCACCCAAGATGTTCCAAGAGGGGCATCCCAAGAGACCCTCCGATTCATCCAGCAAGCTTCTGACCCAAAATCTGGCTTCCACGTTCGTCTCAAACACTCGCTCCTTGTGGGGGTCGGCGGAATGGCGTAAGCCACTCGAATCCACGTCCGGAGGTGACGTGCTGAGCGGTAGCGTTTTTCGGCGAACGCCTTAATGCAACGTATCCCATGTGTCCAATGATTGCACAATCGATACATATTGTGTTTTGTTACAGTATTATGTCTCCCCCCCTAACCCCCCCCCTGGAGTCGCGCCACAGCGCCGTACCAAAAGTTGGCCCCCCTCATTCTGGACCCCAAACCTACAAAAACCTACGTAAAATCAACAATTTCGGCCTCTTCCCTCCCATATTGTGTTTTGTTACATTATTATGTCTCCCCCCCTAACCCCCCCCTGGAGTCGCGCCACAGCGCCGTACCAAAAGTTGGCCCCCCTCATTCTGGACCCCAAACCTACAAAAACCGATGTAAAATCAACAATTTCGGCCTCTTCGGCCTCTTGGGACTCCAAGAAGGCGTCAAGGGGGTTCCAGGATGGCCCCATGACGGCCCAAGACGGCCCAATACGGCCCCAAGACGGCCCCAGATGGTCCCAAGAGGGCCCGTCAGGCCCCCAAGACGGCCCAAGAGGGCCCCAAAATGATCCCAAAGGGCGCCTCCATGAGCCAAAATCATAAATTTCCCAATGGCTTTTAAATAATTTTCGCGTTCTCGCCCTTGCCGGCTCTCAGAGGACCATGACGGCCCAACCAGCCTCCAAGGAGACCCCCAGACGGCCCAAGAGGCCCCCATGGAGGTTCCAAGATGGCCCAAGGGGGCCCGACACGGCCAAAAGAGGCCCCCATGACGGGCCAAGGGGTCTCCAAGACGGGCGAAGGAGACTCCCAAAGAGCCCCAAGGCGGCCGCGAGAGGCCTCCAAGATGGCCTCCGAAGGGGCTGGGCGGCGCAAGAGCGCCCCAAGACGGCGCAAGACGCAAGAAGAAGCCCCGAGAGGCCCCAAGGCGGCCCCAAAGATGCCCCAAGAGGATCCCTGGAGGCTTCCACGAAGCTCCCATGAGCCCTTCCAGGACACCGCCTCAAGCCCCGGGGATGGCAGGCCGGAGCGGCACACGCGCGCGGAGGCCGAGCATGTCACGCCATGTAACGCCAACATTTTCCACAGTTCTCCACGGCGGCGATGACCAGTTCGGATCGGATGCGCGGCGCCTACTCTGCCCGCCTGCAAGCGCGGCGCCTACTCTGCCCGCCTGCAAGCGGGGCAGAGCATGTCTGCTTTGTCGCGCTGGGAACTCTTCACGGCTGCTCGCATAAACACTGCCGAGCACTGGGCGCATTTCAGCCCCCCGCGCGGATCCCGGCACTGAGCGCAGGTCCACTCTTTCATGTTCCACACTCTGTACTTGGCCGTCTTCGGCCGCGGAGTCGTGCCACATCTCGCGCACGGCGGGAATTTGCAAGACTCGCACCAAAAACCGGTGCTGTACGTCAAGCGGTCTGGAGGCCTTGCTCCGCAGCCTCCCTGACAGAGGGGCTTCCCTTTTTCGTCGAGACATTCTGTGCACGCGGCGTCTTTGACGCTCTTGTGCATCTTAAAAAAGGCTGCATCAAACTGATCCGCTGCCTTCTCCTGCGAGCAGATGCGGCACTTAAAAAGGCGGCCCTCCGACATAATGTTGAAATGCTGCCTCTCAGGGGTGCAAGCGACGCAAACGGCAAGGTCCAGCGCCCCTCTTCCCGTCAAGTCATTGACCTCGCTGCGTCTGAAGTTCTTTAACGATTTAGTCTCCTTGCAGCGATTGCAGACGAGCACGTCTCTGCCTTTCGCGGCGAATGGCTCTGCAGCCGCGGCGGGCGCGCCCGCAGCAGAGGTCCGCTTCTGCGCGCACAGGGCGCACCTCCTCCACGCGCCCTGGCACAGCAACGCCACGGCGTGCTCTACGGGGTCGCTCGTTCTCATGCCGCTGCCTGGGAAGTTGCCCGCTCTCTTCCGCTGGTGGCAGTCGGCGCACTGGAAAGTGACGTCCACCAATTTCTTGGACGACCTGGACGCGGCTTCCTTCTCTGCCTTGGCCCAGCCGGCTTCCGCCTGCTCCGTCGTCATCTCCCCGGCTGTCAGGGAGTGCAAGAGCCATGGGCCCGTCTGATGCCCCTGGCGGAAAAGCATGGGCGAAAAAGGCTGCGTGATGATCAGATCGTCAGCCCTCCTGGTGCGGCTGATGGCCACGTAGCCCGTGGGGACCATGGCTGCGCGGGGCGTCGTGCGCGCGTCCAGGAGGTCGATAATGGCCTGCGGCAGCGTGGCGCCGGTGACGCAGTGGGCCGTGGCGGCGAAGTGCGGGACCAGCGGGAACCCCGCGCGCTTCACCATGGCCTTGAAGCCGGGACTGCGATCCCAGGACACCTCCCTCTGCTTCACGGGGAAGACGCCCGCGGGCTGATTCCCAAAGCGGGGCGCCGTGTTCCCGGGAATTTGCACCATGATCGCCTCGGGCACGTGCTGCAGGACCAGCTCCGGCTCGGACCTGTGGTCTTTCACCAACTTCGAGTCGTCGGGGTGGAGGACCCAGCCCGTCACGGTACCCCAGGAGTGCTTGCAGGCTCCCGCCTCCGCATTCTCCGTGGTGGTGAACCGCGCCCGCATCCCCTCGAAGATCGGCAGCACACCCGGAACTCCGCCAGTCTTGTTCTCGGGGTACATGAGCCAGTTCTGCCTGGCGTGGGAGAGCGACTCCGTCGACCTGCATGCGTCGTCCCGAGTGAGGGGGACATCGCGCGCCACCACCCAGAGGAGCTGCTTCCCAGCATTGGCTGCCGCATTCGCCGCTCGCAGCGTCAGAATCCTGCTCTTCGGGGCGTTGTACGGGTGCACGAACAGCGCGTCCGCGAACGCCGTGCTCACCTCCCGCTGTCTGGCATCGCTCTGAGAGGCGACGCGGCAGCGCCGATGGCGTTCCGCGCTGCACTCAGCGCACTCCAGGGATTTCATGTCCTCCCAGGCCCGACCTTCTCCGAACATCCGTGGCCACTCAACTGACCAGAGCGCGCGGCACTTCGCCTTCCCGCAGCCGAAGTGCCCCGTCGAGGCCTCGGCGCTGCCGGGGCTTGCGGGCATCCAGGAGCCGGGCACATCAGTGGGGAAGCCGTGGACGAAATCGTACATCCTGTCCGACAGATTCCCAGCGCGCGCTTCGGCGAGAAAGCTTCTCCACCACACGTCTGAGCAGCGGTGCGACTGGGCCAGGGCGTAGCGGTTAGTCACCGAGTGCGGCAAGCCCTCTGTCCAGAACATCTCCAGTATGCGGCCGACGTTGGCGGGTCTCTTGACAAATGGGTTGGCGGCAATACTGAGACTCCTGACGGGCGGTATCTGCCATAAGTCCCCGAGCAGCACCAGGTTGAGCCCTCCGAACATGGCGAACTGTTTTGGAACGCGTGCGTCCACGGCCCAGGGGTTTCCCTTGTCCCTCGTCGAGTCCTTCACCTGCCTGTGCACGGCGTCCAGCAACTCCACCGAAACGTTCTCCACCTCGTCGATGATGAGCCAGCGCATGTGCTGGATTTTCGTGTGCAGCATGTTCTCCGACAACTCCGGGTCCTTCTTCCCGCCGGACTGGACTCCCGTGATGAGGTCGATTCCGAGCTTGCTGAAGTTGTGGATGGTTCGCCCACCGATGTTGCTCGCCATGGAATTCATGGGGGCGGTCTTGATGAAGTGCACCTCGTGTTCCCATCCCATGCACGTGGGGAACAGCCCCACGCCCTCCTCGCACAGCCACCGGATGACCTCCGATTTCCCTGAACCCGGCAGGCCGAGAACGAACAGCCGGGAGCATGGCGATCCGCGCAGCTGGTCCTGCTCGCGGGCCTCCTGGACGCACCTGTCGGCGACGGCGTCCAGGATGCTCATCTGCTGCGGGTCGGGGGTGATCTGGTGCGTCTGCAGTCCTGCGATCGGGCAGGGATGCGCATGGCCTTGCCTCCCTTCACACTACCCACCTTACCGACGACTGCTGCACAACCCTGTCTGCTACACATCACACGTGCCGCGCCACCTGCCTGGCATGCCCAGACGTGTATACATCTGGGAAGTCCATGTTTATACATACACACACTATACGCGCGTGCACATGTAGACGCGTACGCGCACCTTCCACAGAGCACGCATGGCGCGACCGAGGCAATGCAAGCAAACGCAGCGCCATCCTTCTAAGTGTATACACGAAGCCTCGCTTGTAATCAACCTTCCCCATACTTGGATCTACTCACCACTTACGACATGACGTTCTGGAGTATACATGATGTGTACACATTCTGCACATGCTCTGTACAAACTCTGTTCGATACACGCCAGCTCAAACGCCGAGGTTTCCATCCTCGATATCTTCTTCCAGAGCGAGACGAATCGGGCGCCCCCGACCGAACTGCATCCAGATCGTGCTTTTGCCAACTGCACGTCTCGAGATTGCCCCCCCCCGGTCCTCTCCGCCAGCTCTGGATGTTGCTTGTCAGGTCAGCGTCGCCAGGGTACAGCTTCTCCCGCATCTTGGAGCGCGCAATCTTCCGCGGTGGCTCCTGGGCATTCCCGCGAGCCCCCGCTGGCATTGCACTGGAATGCCGAAGAGCAGACTGTCGCAGTGGCAAGTTCAACGTGGGCGCCCTGTTCGGCGGGTCCCAGAAGGACATGCTCTGCTCCAGCGCTTTGTGCACCGAATGGGAGAGGTTCCCAATGTCCTCGCCAGCGGCATCTGCCCCGGCGTCTCGGTCTACTCGCCGTAACTCTGCCATGATGCTGCTGGGGCTGAGGACCGGAAACGCGTTCTC